CATAAGCAATATCTGGTCGAGTGAGAGACAGATATATCAACTTCCCTACCAGCTTTTGGTATCTCTCTTTATCAAGGTAGTCCTCTCCTACTGATTCCTATAGACCATGGTTCTGTTCTATTGGAGTATCTGCTGGCCTACACCCCATCATACCTGTCTCTTCTAGGAGGTCAAGGACATACTTCCGTTGACATATATAGATGCCCTCTTTTGACCGAGCAACTTCAATCCCAAGGAAGTATCTCAGATGGCTCAAGTCTTTGATCTCAAACTCAGAAGCCAAGAACTCCTTTAATCTTTTTATCTCTTCCAGATCATCCCCAGTAATCACCGTATCATCCACATAGACAATGAGTGTTGTAAGTTTGTTATTTTGTTTCCTTATGAACAAGGTATGATCTGCCCCACTTTGAATGTACCCCACTTTCTGCATGGCCCCACAAAGCTTCTCAAACCAAGCCCGAGGAGACTGCTTAAGACCATATAATGCTTTCCTCAGTTTACACACTTTCCTATCAAAAACATAACCTGGTGGAGGATCCATGAATACCTCTTCATGTAGATCGCCATTTAGGAAAGCATTCTTCACATCCAGCTGATGTACCTCCTATAAGAAGTTTGCAGCTAATGACAAAAAAACCTGGATTGTGTTGAGCTTCGCTACTGGAGCAAAGGTTTCTTTGTAGTCAATCCCTTCCTTTTGAGTAAACCCCTTTGCCACAAGTATGGCCTTGTACCTTTCAATGGACCCATCCTCTCTATGCTTTACAGTGAACACCCACTTGCATCCGACAGTGCTCTTCCCTTCTAGTAGATCCACTAATTCCCAAGTCCTTGCTTTCATTAAGGCTTTCATTTCTTCATTCATAGCCTCTTTCCATCTTGGGTCAGACACTGCCTTTGAGTACCTAGTAGGGACATGCACGGAGGAGAGAGCAAACACAAAGGAATAATAACGAGGAGATAAACGTGAGTAAGAAACAAATTCAGCAATGGGGTGTTGGATAGTACAAGAACGGGTAGACTTACGAAGAGCAATAGGGAGATCCAAATCAGAAGTATGTGTGATAAGATTACTTGGAGTTGCTAAGACAGGTTGATCCGAGTCCGATTGGTTGCTGCCATGATTTAGAGGGCCCTTTTTTCCTTCTGTTGTAGATGATTCTTATATCTTTTTGTTGCCTACTAGAATCCTCAGTAACATCTGCAGCATCAAGAGTGGTAGCAGGCAAAATGGGAGCCTCACTAGGTTCACCCAGAATGCTACAACTAGGAGGATCAAGAGGAGAAGATGGAAGGCCTGAGGCAGAAAGAGGCACAAAAAAAGAGGGGGAAGAAGAATCCTCTTCCATCCCACTAGTCTCCCCCTGAAGAGGATTCTGGGAAGAATGAAAATAGGATTGAGACTCAAAAAATACCACATCTTTTGTGACATATTTCTTCTTGCTGATGGGATCATAACACTTG